CTCCGGACGCGCAGCAAACGCGAGGTCCGGGCTTTACGCGATCTCGCCGATTGGGCGCAGTACGCCTGGGCCGAGTGCAGCGGCGAGGTGCACCAACTGCCAGCCGAGATGCCAGACCATGACGACCTCGACATCCCCGGCGCGGAACTGTTAGAGAGGGTCTGGCCCTCACTTGTAGCCGCACAGAGCAGCCCACACACCACCAAAAAGCTGGAAACTAGGGAGAGCATTTTGAGTGTTTTCCACGCCAACCTCCATCGGCTCTGAGCTACCAAGCTTTTTTCCTTGCAACTAACTGCCTGGTGAGGACTTCTTGGTTGTCGTCATCGTCGAAGTCACTGTCGTTCATGCCCTCTAGCGCAGCCAACAGGTCCTTGTCGTCGATGTTGCCAAGAGCCAAGTCCAATATATCTTGCTCTGAGGAGTTGCTGCTATAGTTTGCAGCACCCGTATCTTCACTATCCGCATCTTCGCCTCGGCTGTGATCACCGCCGATGTCTTCAACGCCGATGTCTTCACCTGCGACAACCATGTTCTGTCCGACAACCTTATTCTGTATAGCAAGTTGAGCTACGTAGAATTGTCGAAGATTGGTGAGAGTGTCATCTTCTTCTTGTTTGTGCTGATCCAGTTTTCTTACGTACGAACACCGGTCTTGCTCCCCACGAGGAATTACTAGGTTGTATCACACTCATGCTCAACATGTCGTCTATCTGCTTATCTAGTTCCTCTCGTAACTCTGGTCTTAACGGCTTCAACGTATGCTTCACCGGCTTCCCGTCTGCTTCGAACTCCACACAATGCCGCCTGTCCTTGGCCGCAACCAACACCTCGAGTGTTTTTGTAACAAAGCCTCTCCCTGACAACACCTTCCGGATGAGACGTCATATCCGTTGCTTCGCAACCGCCAACAAGTCTTGGTCTGACTTCTCCTCCTCCACCAGTGATGCCGCGTTGACCTGGTAACAGCTCTCCACATGGAACTGGCACTTACATGCATCGAAGATACCCAGTGCAATCATGTCTGGTACGCCCAATATCAGCTCATCGTCCTTGAGTTCCACGCCGGAATACAGCACAGTCTCCATCCGGCGGTCTTTTGTAGCCAATGACGCCTTGAACAACGCCACCTGTTTCCTGGTAAACAAGCCCTCTCTGATGGCACCGGCGCCAGCCTCTTCTAAGCCTGACTGACGTGCGAGGTCCATACTCACGATAGACGTAGTTGCACCCGTATCTAAAAGTGCTTCTACCACTACCTCGTTCAACATTACTCCCTTAGTGACTCTCGCAGCTCCTAACGTGCCTGCAAACTTGGCGACCTGGGTAGTTTCTTCCAGCTCTCCGTCTTCCATGAGCGCGTCGGGCCGAGCACTCGTTTTCTTCTTATCTCGGCGCTCCTTC